ATAAGAGGTATTGCTTGTACTGATATTCTGAGAATCTAGAGAAATATCTATTATTAAGTGGGGGTTTTTGTTTGTTTTTTTCCTTTAGCTAAGTGTCAGGCGGAAAAATACCAAAGAGATGTTTGGTGGCTTTTTCAAAAGTGTGGTGAAAAGCGCTGATGAAGTCCTGTTTTCTGGAGTTAAGGTCAGTAGTTTTCATGTGTTCCAAAACAGTGCTTTATGTGAAGAGGTGACTTTTAATTCTCTTGGATTCTGTGACACGAATAGTATTAGTGTAAAAAGAGTGTATTTTTTTTTTTTTATCCTTGCTTGCTTCATTTTCTCAAACTGCTATTGGAGGAGTCCACTCAGCCTCACAGGATCTGCTTTCGTGCTAGGCTGTGGTGTGCTACAGACAATGTGGGCAGCCTGGAAGCAGGACTTTCCGTGTGTGTGTGTGCGTGTGTGTGTGTGTGTACACACGCAGTATGAGAGTGTGTGGAGAGTTTCATCCACCAGTCTTCTCCCTAAATGCCTGTAGTGTCTGGGACTGGTTAGGTCAAAGGCAGGACTTCAGGACTCAATCCAGGTCTCACATGGGTGGCAGATACCAGTCACTGCAACTTTCACTGCGGGAACCACCCCATGTGTCCCAACTGCTGTCTTACCACTGAGCCTCCTTCCTTGTAACTCACTGTGCGTTGTCCAGCTTGGCCACTGCAGGTTCTGAATACGGAGCCCAGACAACCTGTAGGCAGAGATGAGATTTGGGAGCTCTTGGTGCAGCTTAAGTGATTTGGGATTGCCCGTGTGTTGCAGGGTATTTGGTATCCCTGTCCATGGGCAATGATGTTTTCCAATTTTAAAACATAATAGATTGAACAGGTACAGGGATACCACCTACTTGGTAGAACCACCCGGCGGAATGGCTGGCTCGTAGGGTGAGTTGAATGATTGTTAGGGTGCTCTTCAGAATGGCTGGCTGTGTTGCTTTCTGCCAGCCTGGGGCATAAGGGTATTGTCTTACAAAGGGATAATTTTTGGGTCTGTAAGCTTATTTGCTATGATATTTCCCAGATCTTAGTTTCTGCTTCCTTTAATTTCCCCCCCCTTTAGGAGGTAGATGACTTCTTTGAGCAAGAGAAGACCTTCCTCATTAACTATTACAATAGAATCAAGGATTCCTGTGGAAAAGCTGACAGAATGACCAGATCTCATAAAAGTGAGTAGAGTGCCCTGCTAGCCACTGAGCACTTTGCTGGTGGTCCTCCCTGTGCCCATGGCAAAGGGCTGTCCTTGTTTCTGCAGATGTGGCAGATGACTATATCCACACTGCAGCCTGCCTGCACAGCCTGGCTTTGGAAGAGCCCACGGTCATTAAAAAGTAAGTTTGTTGGGAAAGCATTTCCTCGTACACCCTGATGGAGAGGAGACTGCATGATTACCCGGGCTCAGTTCTGACCTGGAATGCCTGTTGATAATCACGAGTTGTCTCCAGTCAGAGCACTCATCCTCTGTATGTGGACACCCTTTAACGTAATTTGAGGAGACCGGGAGGGTGAACACATGGACACCTGGAGCCGAGGTCAAAGCCCTGGCAGCGGGATATGCCCATCTCTTGGTTCTGGTGGATTAGGTTCCTGTGTAGGAATTGCGCTTTCCATGACAACGTACTCTGTTACTTTGGCATAGTTAACATGTGATTCAGCATGTCAGGGCTAATGGCAGAGCCATGGTACTGACTGCTCATCAGACTCAACTTTGGTTAGCAGCGGCTTGGTGGCTTGAGAGCCATGGTGGACATAGGGCAAGAGCTGCAGTTGAGGTGCTAGGGGTCCCTGAGGCCGCCCAGTGCTGTGCTGTGCATGTTTTTGGAGCTGTTCCACCATTTGGGACCAACTGAATGGGTGTATTACTTGGACAGTTCTCTTAAAATATAAAGGGCTAAGGCTCCGAGTCACTGTGCCTGATGGTGTTTGCAGTCCTATAGATGATTTGAGACTTTAATCCAAAGTCATGTGTATGTTTTTAGGTACCTGTTGAAGGTTGCTGAACTATTTGAAAAACTTAGGGTAAGGCTTTTGGTCCAGATCTTTAAAATGTATATTTTATACAATCTGTAGATTGTGCCTTGAATGGTGACTCTTTTTTTCAACTAGAAAGTAGAGGGTCGAGTGTCATCCGACGAAGACTTGAAGCTGACAGAGCTCCTCCGGTACTACATGCTCAACATAGAGGCCGCAAAGGTACGACCAGTCCTGCTCCGGGGTCAGGCAGGGCCCATGCCAGGGAGCTTTCCCTGTGGTCATACGGCAGTGTCTGCTCTCAAAGGCACTTGTCTGTGTAGGTGACATGTCCTCTTGGGACATGATATTCTTGGCTGTGTGCGGTGCAGAAAAATGCTAATTTTGGAATTGCTGGTGTTTGGATGAAGGGCATCAAATTCTGTAGCAAGATTGTTCATGAGGCAGAACTGCAGTGTCGGCAGCCCTCAAATGGTGTAAGGGTGTTATTGGGAAACCAGGACTGAGTGGCAAGCAAGTAATCCTTGAGATGTTAAAGACGTGAGAAGAGGGACCAGCAGTGCCATGTGTAGTGGGATGAGGTAGGCTTCGCAGGTGGCAAGCAGCCATTGCTGGGTGCGTGAGGAACCAGCCAGCACTCCATATGCAGTGTGAACATCCCAAATGGGCACTATTTTAATCCCAAAGTAGCGGGGTATGTATGTATGAGACCCGAGGAAGGGTCCTGGCTCGGGATCAGCTACTGTAATAATTGTGGTCATTTGGGGGAATGAATCAAGAAGTGGTTTCTGCCTTTAAAATTAAACTTTAAAGAACTGAGGGGCAAGGTATAGAGAATTCTTGCCTTCAGGTGTTTCTGGTAGTGTGGCTTCATGGTTGCTGGATTGTCTTGAATTAGCTGTAATATTTTGTTTTTTTATTTGGAGACCTGATGTCCTGTTGGATTTTTGCTCAGGACCTCTTGTACAGGCGAACCAAAGCCCTCATTGACTATGAGAACTCCAACAAGGCCCTGGACAAAGCCCGCTTGAAAAGCAAGGATGTTAAGTTGGCTGAGGCACACCAGCAGGAATGCTGCCAGAAGTTTGAACAGCTGTCCGAGTCTGCGAAAGAAGGTTGGTCCAGAGTGTTCCTGTTGCTTATGTAACTTCACACACAATGTTACACAAGATGGAAGGGTCCACTTCGACCTTTCAGATAAACCTCGACATGGGATGGCTCTGGGATGTGTCCTCACACACTCGCCATTTCCATTTTTGATGATTTTTCACATACTTGAATAGGGTGCAAAGGGTCAAGGGCTACAGGAAGGTGCGTGACACCATTATTTCCACATTCTCTTGTTCCTTCCTGTATGTAGGTGGGAAGGGGAGTAAGGAGAGAAGGCAGACCCAACTCCCAGCCACCTCAGTACCCTGGGATGGAAGACAGCCACCCAATGCCACTCCAGGATCCTCGCTGTGGGGCACGCTCCGAGGTCCTGCTCATGAGGCTTTGATGGTTCGACAGTTCTGAATTACTGCTGATCTTGGCTAGGGTAGTTGATGAATTTGTTCAGTCCTCTGTTACGGTACCAGGTGTCCTCTTCAGGTTCCAGTGTACTGCCATATCCTTTGTTTGCACGTGGATATGCTGTCCACTGCTTCCTCTAGCCCACTGAGGAGGCCCATCTGTGTGTCTCCATTCTTAATCTTCATCTTGGACTGCTTCTTTACATTTATGAAATGCATGATTGAAAGCCATTGAAGTGAAAAATCCCAAGCTGTTAAGTAAGTCTTATAGTACAGTTAATTACTATCAGAGTGTGATAAAAACGCA